ATATATGGTTGCTATGAGTAAGAACCAACTTACCAGCACTTCACAACAGACTAGGAGGAAGGCCTAATAATCTGTTCCCATAAAGACAACAGCCTAGTGCTTCTGTCACATGAGGTCACTGTGTGTCGGAATCGACTTGACAGCACAAAACAAGTATTTAGATTTTGAAATCATTTTGAAATGATTGAAATAATTTTGAAACCATGAAAATAAAACTCCCTTCTCTGTAAAAGGCAAGAATGTAATCAGAAATAGAAGTCATCTTGTATCTGTGTAGAGAATCCGTGCATTTGACTAAACTTGGTTGAGTTTATCTTCTGTGTATTTACTTACACTACAAATCCAGAAGTGAGAGTTATCTCAAATGTTAATTCCTCTTTATCCCTTTGAAAATATAAATCCTTGTCCTATATTTGTATACTTTTAAAAGTTTATAAATAAGCTTTCATTACTATCTAACATTGTCACTATAGGAACAGAAACTGGCCAGACAGACCATTGTTTTAATATGTGTTGTTGGTGGTGGTGTCATTAGGGGCTGTCAATGTTGGTTCAACTATTTGCGATCCTGTAGAGAGTTTCTGAGGCTGTAAATCTTTACTGGAGCATAAATCCTCATCTCTCTTTGTTTTGCTTTGTTTTTTTTTTTTTAATTTTATTTAGGAGCAGAAAAAGAAAAACTAAATCATTTTGGGTCAGTGAGCTCAAGGAAAGTCTCTTAGAATGACAGACTTTTGAACATGTGTATAGACTAAATGTGTAAAGACTAAAGGAAAAGAAGAGGGATCACTGTCAGAGAAATATCTTGAAAGATATAGATCATTCAGGGTAGAAGAGAAGGGATGCTTGTTATCCAAGACTGAAAAAGTGGTAAGGATGGGTTTGGATCAAATAAGTATATAGGTAGATAGTTATTGTTGTTGTTGTTAAGTGCCGTAGAGTTGATTCCAACTCATAGCAACTCTGCATAGGGATTCCAAGGAGCTGCTGGTGAGCTTGAACCACCAGTTTTTTGCAGTTCAAACCGACTTTGTAGTCCAGTTCATTAACCCACAGTGTCACACCAGGACTCCAGGTAGATGGTAGTTGAGAAAAAAATAACTCCTTATAGGCGTAATATTCTCAAGGTGGTAGAAGAAAAGGTGGTGTGTAAGAATAAAAGGGGAAAGACTGAATTGGGGCTTCAGAAAAACAAGATTATCATTAAAACCCTTTTTCAGATTAACATTTCTAAAGAATAGTGAAGACAGGTGAAGACACAGGGAGCGCGTTATGCAAGGGTTAAAGGGGATAGAGATAAATAGTGTTTTATGCACAACTCTGAAACAACAGTGTTCTGCAGGTAGATACGTGGACAGAAACACTCATGTTTTATCATTTCTGTAACTATAGGCACAAAAATCTAAGAGGTTTTTTTTTTTTTTAATTTGTTTTTGGTTTAGTAGATACCATTACTATAAATATGTCCACTATGAATTATGCTTCTAAAGTGGCAGGAGTTTAATAGCTAGGAAGCTTAACGTAGAATAGCAATGATTTGATTTTCTGTGATTCTGCACATCACTAAAGTGGGCTACTAGAGTTATCCAAGAGAGAATAAGATGTAATTGCTTGCCTAGAGTGATAATATCTTTCCAGTTCATCCCCTGAATACCAATGAAGGCAGATGATTGCAGGGAGATGGTAAGGATCAAGTAAGGGGAATAATTAAAATGAGAATAAATTATAGCACATGTAGACCAGGTGTATGCTACTCATTATTTGAAAAGATCGTAAGATAAAACTTTACTTATTCTGAAATATTCTGGAGTAATACTTGTGTTTTTTCTTGTTTTAAATCAGTAAGTCCTCATGTATGTTTCATAGCAATAATATGGGCTTAGAAAGAGGGCGGTACTTGATTCATTGTACCATTTTAAGGATTATATTCCAAAGATAGGAGGACTTATACTTGAAATCTAGGAGAAATAACAGAAAATTAGCACATTGATACTAGTTTAATTATTACTTTCTCTTATTTTTATTTCTCCTACAGTCTTTTTTTAATATAACAATTTCTATCACTAGTTAGGAAAGAATGAAAGAAAATCAACTTTGAGTAATAAGGCTTGATATTAATAGTATTTACGCTTAACTTGAAAAATAACTCATTTTGTTATATCATACTGAAAGTATCTATTGCTCTAGTCTCACGTTCTTACTTTTTGTAGCAAACAATCAATAGCTTATATTAAGGAAAATTAAATAAGATAATGTAAAGAACCTAGAATATGTTAATATTATTTATAGTTAAGTTGCTTATCTTTATCTTTTTGTATCAGTCTTGCTTTTAAATACATAAGTAAGTTACTTGATTTGTGTTATCTTTAAGATCCATAGTTGATTAGTTACAGAATTTTTTAAATTAGTATCTGTGATACTAATTATTGAATGATAGTACTTGATTAGCACTTTTATCTGTCTATAGAATGAAGTAACAGACATGTCAAAACACATACTTTGTTAAGCCTTTTGAATTACTAATTCATATAATATAGTGCTGTATGTGTTATGTTACTAAGCTCAATGAGTATTATGCTTTTGATAAAATATTTTTGTGGAAACAGGGAAACTGTGTAGACCTGAAAGCTTTTTTATAGCCAAGCTTAACTATTAGAATCACCTATTAGTAATTGTACGTTTATGCAATTCAGTGTGTAATAATGGCTACTGTCATCAACTGGCTTACAGATTTTCTGGTAATTTAATAGTCAGCTCTCATGAGCTAGTATGAACTGGTGCTTAAAAAACAACACTGAGTTCTGAAATAGCTGCTGCTTTTTTTTTTTTTTAACCCAGCTAAGTAATGCTGATGCAAACAACCTGCCAACCAGTTATTTTTCTAAAGTAGTGATCTGACTATAAGGCATATTGGAATAAGGCATTCTACAGTCAAATCCAAAATTTCTCTTCCAGACTCATTTCAAATTGCACTCACGCGCTTACATCCTCTATATTTCATGTATACAAGATTTAGACTAAGTACTTCTTGTATTTCCCACCCCCATGCCTCTTCATTATCTTCCTTCAGCCTTAAATGACCTTCCCCATCTGCCTGAGTTTTGCAATACTATTTATTTATCCTTCTAAAATAACTACTGCTATTTCCTCCTATTTCCTACTGTTGGAAACATTCCCATTCTTGGTGTTTTCCTAGCACTTTATTGGTACTTCTTACTTTGAACATTAAATATCAGTAATAAGTGTCTGTTTCACTCAGTAGGTTATAAATTTGTAAAGAGTGCTTGTGAAATCACCCTGTACCTAATGAGTTGATCCCTAAAAACCGTTAATAAACACTTGTTTTTTGTATTATGTTTTTTGTTTTATTTTAACTAGGAAGGATTGTGAATAATGTTTGATAGATCCTTACTTTTAAAAAAAAGATATCATATTGTATATCCTTACTTTTTGAGTGTTTCTGTACGGTCCAAAATTTAAACTTTTTATGAATTGGATATTTTGTGCCCTTTTTTTCCTGCTAATTCAAAACCATATGAGCAATTATACACCCATGTTCTGCACCTAAAGATTGGCATCATGATGACTCTAACTTCCCAAAGAGTGTATAAAGAACCTAAGAGTCAAAAATATTAAATTGCAGAACAAAGTTTGTGAGTTAGTTTTATTTTTCTGAATGTAGTGCACTTTACATTGCTTTTAGCATAAAGTCAAATGTTATATATATAAAGATAATTTTCTCAGCATAAAGTTTAATGCAGCCTTTGTATTAGTAAACAGCTGCTAGAAGAAGTAAGAATATCTTGCTTTGCTTTGTAATGTGAGAGAAATTTGTTTTTATATAAGTCTTAATGGGTAAATTCTTTATTAGTCTTTTGGGTATTTTATCTAAAATTAGAACTATCTGATTGCCTTCACAATCAGATATTGACAAAATCTAGTCATGTGAAGGAAATGTAGTTTTAAAGTAAAAATAGCCCAAGAATTTCTTGAAGCAAAGGCAATACATTCCTTGACAGTGGTTCAGAATCTTTTTCCCCCATCAATTCTGCCATCTGATGGCAAATATTAGAATGACATCCTTTATAATGTTGAAAACTTGTTTCACAATTGTTTGAATTTTTATGTATTCAACATAAAAACCTCCAAAACGCCAAATGAACATTTGTACATATCTTATGCATTTGATACATATATGATAATTACTTTGGCCTTTGTTGGGTTGTCAGTTCCAACTCAAAGCAACTCTGTGTAGAATTTCCAAGACAATAAATCTTCACATGAGCAGAAAGCTTCATCTTTCTTCCATGTAGCCTGACAAGCTGGAACCATGAAGCTTGTGGCTCCCAGTCTGGTGCTTATCGTCTGGAACCACCATGCTCCCATTTTGGGCTTAAGGGGAATCTTACTTACTGTTTAAAATCCCCAAGTGGCAGAGTTTATGTTCAGAAGACACACCTGGCATTCTGCTTCCGTATGATTACAGCCATTGAAAACCCTATATTGGGCAGTTCCACTCTGGCACACATGGATCACTATGAGTTGGAATTGACTTAAGGACAATGGATTTGGGGAGTTTTGGGTACACTTTATTTAACCCTCCTCCTAGGGAGTTCTAGGACTCCTGGTGTAGTGCTGTAGGATAAGCACTGGACTGCCAACCGCAAGGTTAGCAGTTCAAGCCTACCAGCTGCTCCTTGGAAATTCTATACAGGGCCACTATGAGTCGGAACCAATTTAAGTGCACTTAACAACAGCAACAAGGAGAAGTCTTGGACTGCTAACCACAAGATCAGAGATTCAACCCTCCAGCTGCTCCTTAGATAACCTATGCAGAGTTGTTTTTAATCAGAACCAACTTGATGGCACTTAAACAACAACAAAATTTCCTTAAAATTTTACTTCCTTTACAGAGTTCTGTAAAAAATGTGTTTTTCAATTAGTTGCATGTAAAAAACTTTACTTAAAATGTATTTTCTCTTTTCCTTTTCTTTCTTCAGAGCGAGATCACTCAGACACCAGGGTGTTCTTTTACCTGTGGATTATCTTTTGCATCATCAGTTCTTGCTATACCCTCATCTGGGATCTAAAGATGGACTGGGGTCTCTTTGATAAGAATGCTGGAGAAAACACCTTTCTCCGGGAAGAGATTGTCTACCCCCAAAAAGTATGTATATAGAATGTTGGGAAACTCATAGTGTTTCACTAACTAAATCCTATTCCAATACAGATTCCATTCAAACCAAATACATGTAAATACATGTAGTAGTTATCAAAATACTAATTCATTTAGTCAGCAAATATATAACTATGTTTATGCTATGCTAGGGTACTATAGAAATCAGGAATCTCTGAGTGGTGTAAAAGGAACAAGCTCAGCTGCTAACCAAAAGGCTGGAAGTTTGATTCTAACCAGAGTCACCTTGGAAGAAAAGCTAGCTTCTTCCAGAAAATCAGCCACTGAAAACCCTATGGCTTACGGTTCTACCAGATATTCATGGGGTCTCAGCAACTGATTACACATGCAATTCCATCTCCCTTTGTTGTTTCTCTACGCTTTGTCGGCCATTCATCCTAATCCTAGTTTACCTATATAAATTTCCATTATAGGAGTTACCACATTGTATTATAATTACCTGTGCAAATAAGTTTTCTTCTCCCTTACTTCCCCGCATAGTTTTCCTGGTGTGTAGCAAGCTCAATATATCTTTGTGAACTGAATGAAATGGATGATAGAATGCAGAGAAAGATACTGCCTAGTTCTACTTGAGTATCAAGAAGACTTCTTTCATTTACTTCAACCAGTATTTGTTACTTTTAAATTCTAGTTCAATCAGAAAATGTAGACAATGCATTAGAAAATATCTAGGATTTTATCTATATATAAATAAAAGGAAGACAATGGCTGTGATAGTTAAGGTTTTGTATCAAGTTGACTAGGTCAGATTCCCAGTGTTTGGCAGTTAAGAAGTAGCAATCCCCTATGATGAGATCTGCTATGAGCAGCCCATCAGTTGAAAGAAAAGTTTCCTCTGGGGCAGGGCCTGCAACACCTTTGTTTTACAAGAGATAGAATGAGAGAGAAGTGAGCAGAAAAGAAGGGACCTACTACCTGGAGTCATGTTGTAGCACTATAAAATAAGCACTGGACTGCTAATCTCAAGGTCAGCAGCTGCGCTTTGGAAACCCCATAAAGCATCACTGTGAGTCAAATCTGACTCGATGACACTTAACAACAACAACCACTACCAAAAACAAGAGCCAGGAATGGATTGCATCCCATGGATCTGCATTGTGAAGCTCCTAGATCCAGGGAATGATTGATGACAAAATATATGGAGGGCGTCCCAAGGAATGCTGGGCCTACAGATGCTGAAAGGAGACAAAGACCTTTCTCCAGAGCCACTGCTCTGAATTTAGACTCCTAGCCTCCCCAACTATGAGAGAATAAATTTCTGTATTTTAAAGTCATCCAATTGTCTTAGCAGCACTAGATAACTAAGACAGAGGCCAAATTAAAAACAAAAAAATGAGAGTTATTCAGATATTTTAGGAAAGGATAAATACCATGATTCAAACTTGGAAAGGAATTAGATCATGAACTGGGAATCCTGATATTTGCATTCTAACCCTAACTCTCACTAATTACAAAGTATAGTGGATTCTCTTGGATAACATAGAGCGTTGCGCTAGATTATCTCTTTGATGCCTTCCCAACCTTAAATTTCTGTGATAGGGAACGAGTATGGATTAGATACACTATGTCAAAATATCTCTAGTACTCAAAATTAATACTTTGAAAAACTGTGTGAATGGGACTGAAGATAGATAGGAGAATGAATACAATGAATTATAGTCAAGGACTTCAGGTGAACAAATGAAAGCAGAAGAGGGAATATTCATTGACAGTGATCTTTTTTTAAACCTGCGCTCTGGTAGCGTAGTGGTTACGAATCGGGCTGCGAACCTTAAGGTCAGCGGTTCGAAACTACCAGCCGCTCAGCGGGAGAAAGATGAGGCTTTCTACTCCCGTAAAGATTTACACCCTCGGAAACCCTGTACAGGGTCGCTATGGGTCGGACCCGACTCGATGGCA